TGCATATGTGAGGCAAGTGCTCTACCACTGAACCATAGCCAGCCCCTTAGATTTTTATTTTTTGTATCTAAATAACACAATTTAAATGAACCTTTTTCACTATTGTAATTTGCTTGTTGGTGGAAGAAAACATGGTTTGCCAGTGAACTGCTAGATTTGGTTTTYTCCTAAGTACTTGCCAGCATCACTTACTCTGGTTGCCTCTCATTTTCCTTAAATGGAGAGATTGGATATGGTTGGTAACTAAATAAAAGTTTGAAATTATGTGCTGAAAGAAATCAGATGCATATAAACTGACGAGGAAGGAAAGAGCAAATGAGTAGAGAATTTCAGATTATCCATAGACTTTCATTAAAGAGCTCCTTTTTTAACAGCTTGATTAGATATAATTCACATAAAGTTTACCCATTTAAAGTGTAATTCAGTAGTTTTTAGTATATTTGCAGAGTTATGCAACCATTACCATAATATAATTTTAGATTAGATTATGACATAATTGATTATGTCTCTTTCTCCATTCTAGACTTTTGGTATGAATGGAATCATATAATATGTAGGCATTAGAACAACTAAATATATATGTGGGAAAAAATGAATTTTGACCCTTATCTCAAGCCATATGTAATATGGATCATTGACCTAAACATAACAATTAAAATTATATACATAGAAGCAATCACAGATGAAAATCTTGGGTAAATGTTTATCTTTGAACAAGATGCAAAAAATAATAATCATAAAAGAAAAAACTGACATTACTTTTCATCAAGAAATTTTGCTCAGGGCTGGGGATGTGGCTCAAGCGGTAGCTCGCTCACCTGGCATGCGTGCGGCCCGGGTTCGATCCTCAGCACCACATACCAACAAAGATGTTGTGTCCACTGAGAACTAAAAAAAAAAAAGAAATTTTGCTCCCAAGAGAAACTATAAGAAAATATGTAGGCAGACTATATARTGGGAGATAATATTTGCAAAATATATATCAAAGGACAGATGTCCAAAATGTATAAAGAATATAATATGTAAAGACTTTCAATAAATCTATAATAAAAAGGTATACAACACAATTTAAAAATTGGCAAAGATATGAACAACAAAAGATGTACAAATAGCCTTAATATGCACATTAAAGTGCTCAATATCATTAGTCATCCAGGAAGTGCAAACTAAACTGAGATGGTACTATATTTCTACCAGATTGGCTAAATTAATAGACTGACAACACCAAATTTTGGTGAAAACATGAAGTAACCATAAGTCTCCTACATTGCAGGTTAGAGTGTAAAATGATATTATCACTCTGGAGAAAGTGGGATATCTGTGGATATTGCCTTTCATTTGTCTTGGGTGAATACCAGGGAGTGAAAATGCAGGGTATATGATGAGCATTTCCACTCCTATGTATTTACCCAAGAGAAATGAAGAACAATATCCATAAAGGGACTTAAGAATGTTTATGATAGCTTTATCCATAATAGCCAAAACATGCAAACATCCCATGTATCAACAGAAAAAATGAATAAACACACTGTTATAAGTTCACACCCATTTATAGGTTTACACTTGTCAATATGAAAGAACAGACTACTAGGGTGAATTTTGAAAACATTATGCTGAGTGAAAGCTTGACTCAAAAGAATTCTCAGTTAATATATTTACATACAATTCTATGGTGAAAATAATTAGGACAGTGGTTTCTTCTAAAATAGGGGAAGGAATTGACTAGGAAAGGTCATGAAAGAATTCTCCCATGATAATGTTATGTATCTTCATGAGAGTTGGGTCACACAGGTGTGTGTATTTGTCAAAGGTCACTGAATTTAGTACTTAAGAGTTGTGCACTTTATGTGTGAGTTTTACTTGTAGCCTTTCAAAAGTGCAGCAGGAGAAAGACTGGAACTAAATTTAAATTGTTAGTCAGATGCTTAAAATTTCATCAGTTAAGATACCTGCTTTGAAGTTCTGGAGAAAAGAGAACCTTTACAAGGTGTTGGTAGAATGTAAATTAGTATAGCCATTATAGAAAACAGTACGGTGGTTCCTCAAAAAATTAAAAATGGAACTACTGTATGATCTGGCAATCCCATTACTGGGTATATATCTAAAAGAAATGATATCAGTCTGTCTATCAGACATCTGTACATCCATGTTTTTGTAGCACTATTCAGAATAGTCAAGAACTGGAGACAACCCAAGTGTTCATCAGCTGACAAAAAGATAAAGAAAATGTGGTACATATACACAATGGAATTTGCAGCAACAGGGATGGAAGTGGAGATTATTAAAATAATTAAAATAAGCCAGGCATAGAAAAACAAGTACCACATGATCTCACTCATAGGTGGAATCTAAAAAATTTATCTGATAGAAGTCAAGAGTAGAATTGTTACCAGCAGTTAGAAAGAGTAGAGAGAAGGGTAGGATGGGGAAAAATTAATTAATGGGTATTAAGATGCAATTAGTTAGAAGGAAGAAATTCTGGTGTTCTGTTGCATAGTAGGGTGACAGCTGATAATGATAATTTTCTATTTTTTWWAAAAAAAAGCTAAAAAGGATTTTCAGTGCCTTCATCATAAAGAAATGATAAGCTGGATATGATGGGACATACCTGTAATCTCAGCAATGCAGCAGGCTGAGGCAGGAAGATGGCAAGTTCAAGGCCAGCCTCAGCAACTTAATGAGGCCCTAAGCAAATTAGTGAGACCTTGTCTCAAAAATAAAGAGATCTGGGATATGGCTCAGTAGTTAAGCACCCCTGGCTTCAAGGATAAAAGTCTGATAGGTTTACCCTGATTTGAACATATACAATGTATAAATGTATTGAAACATCACATTACTCCCTAAATATGTACAATTTCTATGTATTAGTTAAAAATAAAAGTTAAAAAGTCTAGAAATAAGTCTAATAATGAAAAGCAGAGCAGTRGTTTTCTGTGAATAGAGAAAAGAACAGAGAGAATAGATAAGAAGCTTTAAGTTAGATGATAGAGGAATTCATTTTCTTGATTGTGGTGATAGCTTCTTGGGTATCTGTAYACCTTAAATAAGTACAATTTATTGTATGTATTTATTATATGTCATTATGCCTTAATAAAGATGTATAAAAAAAAAAACAAAAAAGATATTTCTGTATTTCCAAATTTTCCCTGTAAGGAATCACCTAGGACATTTATCAAATTTTAGACTTCTCCCTTTGRGACTGGAATTCTTCCTTTATAGACTGATTCAATGAGTCTGGAAGGAGCTGAGAATTTGTATTTTAAAACAGGTACAGTTGTCCTTGGGTATCTATGGGGGATTGGTTCCAGGACCCTTCTTGGATACTTAAAGCTGAGGATGCTCAAGTCACTCATTAAATACTGTGGGATTTTCATATAACCAGCACACATGTATTTATCTATAAAATAAATATATATTTACATATAATAAATGTATATTTATACTTAAATAGATATATGCGTATATGTTTATTTAGATATGCTGGGGGCTGTTAGTCCCGGTGCATGCTAGGCAAACTTATACTGCGGAGCCACACCCCTAGCTGCTCCTCCTTTAAAGCATCTCTACACTACTTACAATATTCAATATCACTTCTTCCAGGTGCCATGTAAATGCTATGTAAATAGTTGTTTATTGTTTAGGGAATAAAAAAAAGTGTGCACATGTTTAGTACTGATGAAGGTTTTGACCCAAATAATTTTGATCCATGGTGGGTGAATCCATAGATGTGAAATCCAGGGATACAGAGGGTCAACTCTACCTATAGGTAATACTTAATCATCCAGAATGTTTGGGAAACATTGCTCTAAAGTAGAATTAATTTTCTCAGACTTTTTTGTACTGGGAGGGAGAGAAAGATGGAAAGGGAGAAGGCCAGGGGAGAAAGGAAGAAGGAAAATTGCCCAAGGAACTTGTTGAAAATGGAAACCTCTGGGTCCTCCCAAACCTTCTCATTTGTCAAGTCTGGGATAAAGGCCATAAATAAACACACACTCAGTGTGTGTGTGTGTGTGTGTGTGTGTGTGTGTGTGTAGTATACACACATGTATAGTATATATGTGTATATATTGAGAGAGAGAGTGTGAGTGTACATACAGTGGATAGGTCTGAGGGCTGTTTTCTAGTGTCATTGCCTTGAAGGAAGGTCCATGGGTAAGTTTTGTCACTTTTACAGGAGAGAAGGTAAAAATAGGAAATGAAGATAATTTTAGAATTTTTTAGAATTGAGAACATACATGGAGGATTTTAGGTAACCTACAGGCAGTGCACCTGCATAAGAGTAGAGGTGCCATATATTGACTGTCAGACAATCAGCTTCATGGGGTGGAGTATGGGTAACCTATTAGACTTTTTTTTTTTTTGGTACTGGGGATTGAACCCAGAAGCATTTTACCACTGAGCTAAATCCCAGCCCTCTTTTTTGGGAGGACAGGGGATGGGTGGGTACCAGGAATTGAATTCAAGGGCACTCAACCACTGAGCCACATCCCCAGCCGTATTTTGTATTTTATTTAGAGACAGGGTCTCACTTAGTTGCTTAGCCTCTTGCTGTTGCTGAAGCTGGCTTTGAACTCCTAATTCTCCTGCCTCAGCCTCAAAAAATTAAAAATGGATTGAAGGCAAGATTATAGGATTACAGGCAAGAGACACCATATCCAGCAAATCTCTAGCCCTCTTTATTTATTTATTTTTTAAATTTTGAGACAGTGTCTGGCTAAGTTGCTTAGGGTCTCAYTAAGTTGCTGAGGTTGGCCTCAAGTTGTGATCCTCCTTCTTCAGCTTCCCAATATACCAGTATTATAGGTGTGCCCCATTGCATGTGGGTAGAAAAGGACTTTTGAGAGCAAAGGCATTCATTTACTTCTAGGTGGTAGGGAGAATTTAGGATATCCCACATGTCACAAAAACATCTGCATGCCATTGGTTGCCAGCCCTTGTCCCATGTGCTGCTACTGAATACCTAGAGACTATAAACACTCACTGGTTTTTCTCTTTTGTAGAAAGAAGAAAACATAATCTATAGACCATCTTCTGGCAAAACATGATAGATTTGGATCAGAAACAGGAGGTATTGGAAGCCAGGAGTCAAAAGTAAAGAAACTCTGCAAGACCTTGGGTGAAAGAGGTAACAGAGATTGCATGTTTACTAATTAATTAATTTATTATTATTATTATTATTATTATTATTATTATTATTATACAGTTACCTGATATGAGTGTTCTAGGCCCATAGGTAGCTTCATTAATTGTAGAGAGAAGGTAGAGTAGGTGAATAGGAGTGAATTGCTGGAAATGGGTCTCAACTACACATTTCTCTGTGGTGTGCTTCAGTCAGTACTTTCTGACAGCCTCTTGCCTGCATTCTTTTTACTTATTTCCCAGGACCCTTCCCCTCCTTTCTGTGGCTGGAGCTTACCCTGAAATACCTCATTAATAATCATAGCTCACATTTATTGAATTGTTATTACTSTCAGGTACCATAGTGTTGTGCTCTCTTTGCATTCATTCCGTTTTCAAAATAACCCAATAACATAGACAAAATATTTGAGATTTCAAGTGGTTAGATAACTTGCCTAAGACCTGATAGCTAGGAAATAGCAGAACCAGATTTTAAACTGATGTTTTCTGACTTCATACTGCATACTTGCTGTCTTCTTTCCTCTCTCAGAGGAAAAAGGGCAAGCCACACTAGCACTTCTTCCAGTATACCAGAACACATACCCCAACTTGGTGGACCTCTTTTGGAAGGTGTTCAGTTCCTATAATTTAAAAGCATTAAAATTTTTGTTATGAAGTTTTTGACAATCAGAGAGGAGAAAAAAAAATCATTGCTGACCTTTTGTAACTGTAATTAATAATGTTTCTACTTCCAGGATTTCCCTATATATGTCCATATTTCCCTATGGTAACATGTTCTTTATTAGTATCCTGATATTTTAAAYATCAATAGGCTTTTTATGCCTAGATTTTAATGACTCTCAAATGATAACATGAGACTTCTAGCAGTTTAAAGTTCAGCAAATGAATGAATCCTTGCTTCCATGTAAGGAATATTACATTTGTTCAAAAAACTTCTGTTTTTTGTTTTTTGTTCTTTTCTGTATTCAAAGAGGGGGATCACTGTTCTAATGGAATTTATTTATTTATTTTTAATTTTGTGGTGCTGGGGATTAGAACCCAGGGCCTTGTGCATGCAAAGTAAGCACTCTACCAGCTGAGCTATATCTACAGCCCCTAGTACAAATTTTGTATTACATTTCAGTTTCATGAACAAAGAATGTACTTTTCCAACTTAAGAATGTTTGACCTGTCTTTCCAGATATTGTTAAAATTCACATCTCCTTTGGGCTTTTCTTGATTTCCAAGTCCACAATGGTATTTTTCTACTCCAGTCTTCTCAAGCACTTTCTGGTTATACTTCACATTTGATATTCACTGTGTTTTACATCTACTAGTCATAATATTTTGTACTATTATACTCTTTCCATTCACAATGCCTAATATAGTGCTTTAATGTCAGTTTTATTTTTTTAGCATTTTAATGTTCAAATCAAATTATTATTGATCAATTTCTCCAAGGTTTTAGAATGACATTCTGGYGTATCTTTCTATCCCTTTATAGGTTCCTATCACTGTCACCATGCCAGAAATGACAGAGCATGAAACTCCTACAAAAAAGCAGCATAGGTATGTCCACAGACCAAAAATAATATAGTGTAGACTTAAGAAGCAGAATTAGATCCCATTTTGCTAAGTAGATAGTCCTTAATGAACTTTTATTATTCAGGCTAGAAAATAATCTCTGAAAGTAATGTAGATTAAATATAGATTTACTAAAAGTGGTATATGTTTAAAATTTACCTGTCTTCCTTATTGTACCAAAAATGTAACAAGTAATTATAACCATCAATAGTTGAAATAATACATCAAATCTATGCTAAATGTTTAGTTTCTAGTGACATTTTTACCAGCATACAGTATGAATTTTTGTAGATCCCAAAACATTTAGGTCACAGTCAGTTTGAATACATATTTTGCAACATTGTAAAATATTAATGCCAATATGCTTACATAATATGACTTTTGTTTTTGTATAACCCCTTCTCTGAATTTGTAGCATTTGGGGCAATATCTGCTTAGAATTGCAKGGCCTGTGCTTTTATTAGTATTGAAGTCACTGTTCTCTTTCTTTGCTGAATAGCTATTTAAAGATAATAATGTATTGAGAAATGATGTATAACAGGGAAAAAATCAATGTCTTTAATAGATGGACTTTTAAGAAATTTAAGAGTTTGGACAACCTACTAAGTATACAAATGCAAAAGATGACTCAAATGTCAATTGTCAGTGYCGTGCCTAAGTGTGCTGTCACCTACCACATTTCCCTACCTGTGAATTAAAAAGCTACTCTCTACTGTTGCCTAGGTGCCAAGGCAGACATCAGAAGTCACCTATGGGACACATCACTTGAGATTTTACTAGCACCTTAATTACATGTTTCAAATAGTTATGGTCTTCAGTGATTGATTCTATTCTCAACCCATGACGACTTCTGAGTATCAAAGATTAGAGAACTGTAGTTCTAGAAATGGTGCCTTCTGAATTTATATGGAGGTATCTTTAGTTATGTTTTTATACCATAATATATTAAGAAAAGTTTTCTTCAGATGGCTTATTATTGATGCTGAAAATACAAATTTGTAAAACTTATTTTATGGTTCTCAAAATATAAAGTGGTAAAAGTGCTTTCCAGTTATCTTCATGTTACCTTTTATCTATACTTTTTGTTTCAGAAAGAAAAACCGGGAAACACACAATGCAGGTAGATACAGTAATTTAAATTTTACTTGTTAGCATTTTTTGTTTTTAAAATGAAATTATAGCATAGTTGATATTTAAGTTTTTATGTTATAAGCATAGAATAATTATTTATTATATTATAAGAAAATGTACCTTTATTGTTTTTAATTGACAAAATATTCTCTGGGCTGGGGATATAGTTCAGTTGGTAGAGTGCTTGCCTCACATGCACAAGGCCCTGGGTTCAATCACCAAAAAAAAAAAAAAAAAAAAAAAAAAATTCTGAGTCTCATGGATATCTCATGATATTTTGATTTGTAGTCTATTTGGATAAATTAAGAGATTAGTATATTCCTGAGTTAGTGTTTGAGGGGATTTCACCCACCAAAGAAATCCAGATACACTTCTCAGTAGAATGAAGGTTATGTGCCTGTCTGAATAAATTCCAGAGGGGACAGCTATCTAGAGGGGTAAGGAAGAGATGAGCAGTGGACTACAGGTCTTAAAGGGACTTGTATGTGAACAGTCTTAAGTTGTATAGTCTTCATTTATAGAAAGAAATGTAGAAAATAAATATTTGATTTTTATCTCAAGCATCAAAAGTATAGACCAAAGCTAGATAAACATATATAGGATTGTGCATACGTTTTCAGTTTGGCACATTGTATGCCACTTTATTTTCCATCAGAAACTTCATTCAGACAAAAAAATATGTTATAATGCACATATATATTATTATGAATACTCTTACATATAAGTTGATTTCTRTTACTCTATAAATAATATTTTTTCTTAAGGACCTTTGAGAAATTTTTATCTATGGAAACATGTCTTAAAAACTGGTGGGATTGTTTTCCATAATAAATAGATTAATGCCTTTGAAACCYCAAATATTACTATAGGCAAAGAGTCTTAATATTGGGTTGTAATTTTTTTAACTCCACACATTTAAAAAAATCTGCTCTTAGATACCAAGAAATATTATTAYTGGAGAATTCATAAGAAAGGTAGGCTCTAATTTATTGCTTTGGATTTCTGGGATGTATGAATTCTTATTTGGCCATATGAACTAAATTTTTTCATYATAATCAACTCTCTTATGGTGCCATAAATATGTCCTGACTGTGCCTTATTAAGAGAGAGTAATTAAATATCATTAAATAGACTATTCTTAGTGCTGGATCATGAAGCAAAAAACATATATTTTGATTTGTAGTCTATGTGGATAAATACATTTTGTAAAATAAGTTTTTCCCAGGGGATAATCTGAAAAAGATGTCTTAGAAGTCTGCTATGCTTTGTTAGAAAGGAAAGATTTTAGAAAACTTCCCAATATAAAATGTTTAGGAGTAGTATTTCTATTTACAGTGCCTTWTAGAAATTAGATAATCTCTGTATCCTTTGCCCCTTTTAAAGTTATAGTGTGGAAGTCTGGAATATTTTGCAGTTAATTGAGAAATTGTCAGTTGCCTGGTTTTTAGATAGAAAGATTCTGCATGACCAGAGTAGACAGCCCATACTCCATAGAGAAGAACAAGCCAGTGCCTTTTGCTTTCTGTTTTAAGTCATCACTAATAGCTGTTTCTATTCCAAAAGGGCCATCTGTTCACCCAAAAGGTGTTTTCAGGTTCTTTAACCTGTATAGAAAGGTCTGATTTTATAATAAAGGCAGTTTTCTGATAACTTAGGTTGCTAATGGTTATCATTAAAATCTCTTAGTTACTTGAACTATAATAAATTATTTATAATAATATAACACAGTATTAATCATTCCTATTTTTTATAATTTGAATGTAATTATTATAGATGATTTTCTTTCTTTTTTGCATGATATTAGGGATCAAACCCAGAACCTTATGCATGCTAGGCAAGTGCTCTACCACTGAGCTACATCCCTAGTCCATAGATGATATTTTTTAAAATGCTAGTAAATTTATTGCTTATGTTGATTTTATAACATTATATCTAAAGTATTACATTGATAGAAATCTGATTTGCTTATTGTGRTTATTTATCTTCAGTAGTAATGTTTGATAAACATTTCTAATGGATTTCTTTGCCTAAAATTTCTTTGCCCAGGGAAAATTGGGCACTTCAACAGAGTAATATAAGGTTTGACATATGGATTTTTCCCTTAATCTAGTGGAGAGGCATAGAAAGAAGAAAATTAATGCTGGGATTAACAGAATAGGGGAGCTGATCCCATGTTCCCCAGCTCTAAAGCAGGTAAGAATCCACTCATATTTTCATTCATTGCTTGTGAACAGAGAGTTCCCTAAATTTTTTCAGTACTTAGAATAATTATTTTTGTTACCTGCCATTTATGGGGAGTTTTTTGAAGTTCATAATTGCCTCGTTTTTCATTTGCTTCATTTTTTATATACCTAACATTAGTTTTCCCCACATTTCTAACAATCTCAGTACAACTTTCTACATGGTCAAATGTACCATACAATGTCTAGATCCTTTTAATAACTTAGTCTTATGATTATGTTTATATACTCTGCTTATAAGGTCTATAATCTTTTGTTTTCTGCCAATTCATGTGTTTTACTCTTTTTAAATTCTTACCTAGAATCTTCCAAGTATCTCTTTATTTATTCTCCATGCCCTATCAATTCCCAATAGTACTTAAAAATCTCAGCTTTCAGTTTTCCCTCATGAAGATAGCTTTTAGTTTCTTCTGATAATGAGGATAAAATATGCTCATTGAAAACAAAACAAACAATTGAAATGATATTGAAAGCAAAAAATATTTTTTAAAAAAATTGGTATCCCACTCCCAAGTTATAATTACTAATAAAATATTGTTGCATGTCTCTCCAGACATTGCTTTCTAAGAATATATGTGTATCTATCTAATGCTGTTTCTTTTTTTCTTTTCTTTTTCTTTGTCCTTTTTTTTTTAATGGTGCTGGGGATTAAACCCAGGCCTCACTCTTGCTACTCAAGCATTCTACCACTAAGATATATTCCCTGTCTTTCAGTTCTTTTGTAACTTGCTTTATTACACATTAAAATTTTTACTCATTACACAGTAAAATTTTGGTTGTAGATACCTTTTTTCTTATGATCTCCTTTCCTTTTAATTTTAATAATAGGATATCATAATTAGTAGTAGCTTTTTGTTAATTAATTTTAATTCAATTCTTTAAACAAAGAATAATATATGCACATAGCAAATAGCACTAAAAAGCTTAAAACAAACATTAATCTCATACCTGCATCCCAACCCTAACACAGCTCCTCAGAGCAAACATTCTCAACTGTTCCTCCTTGTGAAATGTACTACTGTGTTCCATTCTTTCTTTTCCTTCTCTTTCTTTCTTTCTTTTTTTCTTTCAGTACTCCACCACTGGGCTACCCCTCCAGTACTTTCTTATTTTTATTTTGAGACAGGATCTTGCTAAGTCGCTAAGGCTGACCTCAAGTTTGTGTCCTCCAGCTTCAACCTCCCAACACACTGGAATTGTAGACATATGCCATCATACCTTGCTTACTGTTGTATTTCAAAATAACATACTTACATTTCTATATCTTAACTTTTCCATTTTAGATATTATCTATCAAAATCCTATTGTGCGGACTGGAGTTGTGGCTCAGTGGTAGAGCGCTTGCCTAGCATGTGTGAGGCACTGGGTTCAGTTCTCAGCACATATTTATATAAACAAAATAAAGGTCCATTGACAATTAAAAAATATTTTTAAAAAATTATATTGTGCTTTTCCCCTGACTTTCCCATATAATTCTGATTAAAATTGATATTCAGTTTTTATATTTTTTATATTATTAAGAATATGTAACTATTGTTTGTGGTTGACCCAAGGAGTATATTATTATTATGTTTCATTTCATATGTAACTCATAGTTTTTCATTTGCTTAAATTTCTATATATTTGTCTTTAATTCTTTCCATCCTTCCAACAGGCTCTTCATAGTTTCCTGGATGGTCAAGTTTACCACATAATTTCCATTTTCCATTTCCTTCCTTTGAAAGTTTATTTCTGAAACCCTCTGTCTTCCTTTTTCAATCTCAACTAATTGATCTCTTCCAACTCTCCTGTTTAATACCATATGTTAATTATGTGGATTTGATAACATCTAATCTAATTGAATGTTTTCTAGGATTTTTCCTGAAGTTTTCTGATTTCTTCCCCCCTTTTGTTGGATGTTTTATCTTTCTTTTTGGAGGCTTTTCTTAAAGCTTAGTGACAGGTAGCTATTTTTTTTTCTGACTTGAGGATAGGCATTTAAGAAGCTGATCAAATAAATAGTCTTGTCATTTTGGTGTCCCTGACTATTGCATGATTAGATGGTGTACTAGTAGTTTTTTTGTTGTGGTCGTGGTAGAACTAAAAAAAAAAAAAAAAAAAAAAAAAAAAATCTGAGGGACAAATACTAATTTTCCCTCCTGAGAAGGAATCTGTTAGTCTCTAACCTGGGAGTGGAAATGATGGGAGAAGAGTATGAGTTTGTTTGGTAATATTTCGAATTTTGGGTCAGGGATGGTGGGGATAAAAAGTGTCATTCTTTGGTAGGGAAAATTTTACTTTACCCTGTTTTTACTTGGGAGCCTCATCATGTCCACTTTTGTGCCAAGTATCTCTGAGRTTAAAATTCTCTGGTTCAGATTTCACAGAAAATAAACTTGTTTCTTGTGGTTGGGGCAAGAAGGGGGAAGTTATCCAACTGCATAGGATATATGCATGGGGAAGTGGTTCCTATTACTGCTTTACTAAGAGCCTTTCAACAAATCCTCTCGGTCAAGTCCCTGTACCTTGCCCCACCTTCTGTAGCARCTGGTGCTTCTCAGTATTGAAACTTCCTAGGAATTTAGAAGACAAAATCAACTTGTGGCTCAATAAGTATCTCCCTTGGCAAGAATGTAGACTTCAGTTTCCTTTCATTCTCCCCTACAGGGTGGATTTAGACTTCCACAAATGTGTTTTTAAGTCTTCTAAAAATGTATTCTTTCCTTAACACAATGGCAAACTATGTCTTCTGATTTTTCTTTCTCCACATTTTAATGTATAATAGGTGTGCTCACTAAATATTGGAAGTTGCTCAGCAAAATTATATTTTCATGKTTTGGGCTTTCATGAGTTTCTCTGAAGAAAGGAAACCATACCATTTCTCTTCCTTGGTGTCCTAGAATGTGCAAAGAAAGTCAGTATTTGGCTCCCAGAAGAAGAGTAGCCTAAAGTTTTTCTTGAGCATTGCTGCTGGCTCTGCYTGCTATCTCTAGTAAAGGGTCAGGTGCCTGGGTATTTATCAGGTTCTACCTTGGTTCAGATTCTTATTTCAAGAAAGGACAATATTAGTTTTCTCTTCTAAAATAGTTTCCTTGGTTTATATTACTGAGTCTCTACTGGAATTTAGTGTGAAGAACACAGAATTGAAGCTTGTTGAAGCAAAGCACTAAATTACAGTGATTCATACATGAAAAGAGCAATCCATAGGTAATATGTATGCTGGAGGAGAAGTTAAATATTTACTGCCACATTGTTCAGTAGCCAAAGAAGGAAACCAGAAATGGCTCTTAGGTAACTTAAATGTTTATCAGGAATAGACTGCTAAGTAAAATAAATACAGCCATTAGAAAGAATAAGATAGACTTCTAAGTTCTGTATGATAATATGAGAAGATATATCTTTAAATTTTAACAAGTACACTGTACTGTTTATAGCATTCTTTGATCTGGATTTTTTAAAAAGATATATATCTGAGCTAGGCATGGTGGCACATGCCTATAATCCCAGTGACTTGGGAGGCTAAGTCAGGAGATCACAAGTTCAAAGCCAGGCCCAACAATTTAGCAAGATCCTAAGCAACTTAGCAAGGCCCTGTCTTAAGATAAAAAATAAAAAGGTCTGGGATGTAACTTAGTGGTTAAGCACCCCTGGGTTTGATTCCTGCTACAAAATTTTTAAAAAATATATATACATGTACATATTGGTATACCATATTTATGGAAGGATATACAAGTAAGTTTATAGTTATTACCTCTGGAACAGGGTCTGGAGAGCTAAAACACAAAGAAATGTTACTTTTGATGTCTATTTCTTCATATATTTACTTTTTTGCCAAGTAATTATTATTTTTCAGTTTTTAAAATTATCAATTAAGAATAAAGGAGCATTTTGACATAAAGCACGATCTTTTTGAAAAGCTTAGGAATGGAATATACTAGGAATATGACACCAGAACTCAATCAAGTGATGTTTCTTTCTCACCCTGTTACTTTGGATCATCTATAACTGCGGCTAACAGTAGAGAATAACATTAARGTCTGAAATATTTAAATGGTCCTGAAGGCTCTCTCTGGCTTTTTCTCCTACCACTCTTCCTGATGTGTAGGATTCTCACTCTACTTATCTCCTTGCTGTTGTAGCCTTGCCCAGCCCAGCCCTGCCTGAGAACCTTTTGCCTTCTGACCTCATACCTGGATCCTCTTCCTCCAGATGTCTACAGAGTGTGCTTTTTACTTCCAGATTTTTGCTTAAGTATCACTATACAGGGTGGCCTTCCCAGAGAGCATCTTAATTCAGGCTGCTGTAACAAAAACACCATGGACTGAGTGACTTAAACAACAAAGATTTATTTCTCATAATTCTGGAAGCTGAAAAGTCCAAAATCCATAGTTGATTCCTGGTTATGTCCTCACATGGAGGAAAAGGAGAAATCATCTCTCCCTCTCTTCTTATAAGTCCCTAAACCCATTCATGAGTAACTGAATGCCCTCTCAAAGGTCCCACCTCCTGATACCATCCCATTAGGGATTAGGACTATTGCATGATTAGAATCTATGAATTTAGTGGGAAGACACAAACATTCATTGAACAACACAGAGTAACTTCCACCATCAATTTAACACCCTCCCTGGGACCCTGCTATTTTATTTTGTATGTGTGTATAATATTGTCATCACCTGATTATTTTGCATTTGTATTTGTATTCTTCAAGGACAGGTGCTTTGTTTTATTACTGTATCCCAGTGCCTCAAACAACAGAGCCTGACACATAGTAAAAGTCCAATAGAGGACTGGGGATGTAGTTCAGTGGTAGAGTGTGTGCTTAATAAGGCCCAAGTTCAACCCCCAGTACCAAAAAGAAAAGAAAGACAAAGCCTGATAGATATTTAGTAGAAGTGTTTGAATATGGTGCCTGCTTTAAATTTTGAAATGTTACATATCACATGTGAGATGAAGCCAGAGATTTCAGTTTCTTCTGGAAAGTTTTTACCCTTCAGTGAAGTTTTAAATCATTAATTTTCTTTGGCAGAGCAAGAATATGATCCTGGACCAAGCCTTTAAATACATAACAGAATTGAAAAGGCAAAATGATGAACTCCTGCTTAATGGCGGAAACAATGAACAAGGTAACAACTTGGAGAGTCTTACTTTATGATTTTTGTTAAATGCTTAGATCTTTGTGTTACAGTGAAATTTATATAGATATAGAACCCACTACCCGCCTCCCCGCCCAAATCCCTAATAACAAAAACTAAATCAACAAACAAAAGCATTATTAAGACCTTGCACTCAAGGGGTCTCGGAGAATAATATTTCAAATAAAGTCACTTTATCTCTGCTGTCTCCTCTGGGAACAACTGTAATCTTATGTGCATACATGGTTTTGATTTTAGACTCTTCTGTGTAATTCATGTTTGCCTCACTCATGATACTAATAATACTAAATCTCYTTTATCCCAGTTGGATCTTGTAGCTAGGGGATTCCCATAAGAGGATGTGGGGAGGAGTTCTGCTCTGTGTGACTTACTAACAGGATAGGATAGGCCTGTGCCAAATCTTAACTGCATTAACTCAAAAGGTCAAAACATTCATTCATAATTGTTTGTGTGGATATAATATATGCATCCAGCTGCCTGATCATTTAATGATATTTGATTTTTAGATAGAAATGACTTTTTTTATGCTGTCAATGAGTTTTACCACTCTTGGAGAGAAGCTGAAAACAATAATATCCCAGGCAAGTGTAAAGCTCAGGGTGATAGGACAGTTTTAATTGTTCTTTATTTATGGCTCTGACAAGAGCAGAGAATTTTCTGTGACAGGTCAGTCAGCCACCTTAAAAGGAGAGAAATAAAGCAGAATTTGCTGGGCTGTTTATTACAACACATAGGAAAGATATTTGAAAGTATATCCAGGACCTCAGATTTTGGAATTCTCTTTGTTAGCTTTTAGTGAAATAACAATTTATCCCCCTCCTAGGTCAACTGTCTTTTATGGTCTAGGCTGTTTTGTGTGACGCTGCCAGATAGTGAGATACAATAATCTGTGTTCCATTATGAGGTACCTCACAAAAGGAACAGGAAGTCAGATGATATGTAGACTCTTTTAGAGAAGGCTCCTTTCATTTCAAAGCATGGAGGCTGAGGCATTCATGTTACCTTAGGGAAAAGGGAAGCTGTTGAAAAAATACAGGTGCATGGAACTCAGGAAAAGCCAAATATCCAGGCTAGRGTTTAGGGGTAGCACAGAAATGACTGAGTTGTCATGTCTGTCACTATTATTTTTCTGGTTCTTTTTGTGCTTCTGCTTTATGCCTTCCCCCCCCCAAGTGACTGCTTTTTTATAGTTGTTTTTTATTTATTTTTATATGGTGCTGAGGATTGAGCCCAGTGCCTCACATATGCCAGGCAATTTCTCTATCACTGAGCTACAACCCCAGTCCCTGGTGGCTGCTTCTTTGTACTCATCATTCACATGACACTCCAGCATAGTGGTCAAAGCAACGCCTTGGAGCCAGGCCCACTTGGGTTGTAGTCTAACCTTTGTTCTCTCACTTAGTACCCTTTGGCCAGTTATTTAATCTCCCCAAATTTCAGTTTCCCTATTGTTTTTATTCTTCCCCCTTCCCCCACCTAGTATTAGGGATTGAACACAGGGCCTCATGAACACAAGGACTCTACCCCTGAGCCACATTCCTAGCCCCTTTTATTTTATTTTTGAGATAGGGTCTTACCAAGTTACGCAGTCTGGCCTTGAACTTGAGATCCTTCTACCACAGCTTCTCAAATAGCTGGGATTATAGGTATCTTAAAATGAGGATAATCAGAGTATTTACATGGATGATTTTATGCAAATTTGATAATTACTTTGAACCTATTTCTTTTATCTAAAATGGTAATAATAATAATAGATAGTTCTCATTTTATGTTTTTTATGAGAATTAAAAGAGAGAATAGAGGTAAAGCATTTAGACTAAAGCCTCACACATAGTAAATGCACTCAGGGACATTCTACCATTGAGCTACATCCCCAAATCTTTTATTTTTTTTAATTTTATTTTTTGTAGTTGTAGATGGACAGAATGCCTTTATTTTATTTTATTTTTTATTATTTTTATGTGGTGCTGGGGATCAAACCCAGTGCCTCATGCATGCTAAGCAAGTGCTCTTCCACTGAGCTACAACCCCAGCCTATATTTTTTATTTTGAGATAGGGTCTCACTAAGTTGCTAAAACTGGCCTCAAATTTGTGATCGTCTTGCCTCAACCTCTCGAGTCCCTGGGATTACAGGCACATGCCACTATGCCAAACAATTATCCTTTAAGATTCTAATATTTGTCTCATAGTTTAAATGATCTGCCAATCTCAGGTCATCCTTGTTGAAAAAAAACTCTTCATTTTAGGCTACATCCTAGAACATGAGTCTTTTGAGGCAAGGATAAGAATACCTACCACAATGACAAGGCAGATGGGGATGTATGAGGCAAAGGAGTCAAGAGTATAAATACCATCAACCAACTCTGCCCCCGTAGGACCTATGGGTGAAGCTGTCTCTCTTATAAAGGAGAGGGGTATAGCAGGTGTCTTCACTGCTCAGCAGTGCACCTGCCTTGGCCCTACCAAGGAAAATGAAGGTTCCATTGCTGGTACCCTCTTTGATACTCTACCATTCTACTTCTTATGTGTTCTCGTTTCTACTTTAGTCTCCATTGTTTGTTTCAGAGGGTAAAATGAAAGCTCAAACCATTTATAAAGACCTATTTGGTACTACCACAAGTCATGTTAGTTACTGCATTATTTAAATGGTATTATAGGCATTTTCAGTGTGAGTTTCCTACCATGTTACCATTATATCAATAAGTCTTCCTTTGCTTTACTTGCATAGCTACTCTATTGGAAATTTTCAAATTGGGAATTTTAAGATTTCTGCCTTATAAGTTATTTTCCAGTGGTTGGCCTTTAAAGATAGATATTTTTAAAAGAATGGGATAGGGGCTTGAGTACCATTCTAAAGAGAAGAAAGAACTTGTATTAACAAAGAGCTAAGAATTCTCAGTTGAGGTTTCTAGAATGCTGGCATTAGAATTCAGTAGTTTAGTATATAGTTCTTTCTCAAGTTATTGTAAATAGTGACATTCACTAGTAATTTTTAATTTTTATTTTTAAAATTATAGCTGAAGAAATTAAAAAATTACGGAAACAACTGGAAGAAATCCAAAAAGAAAATGGCCGATATATTGAATTACTGAAAGCAAATGATATATGCTTATACGATGACCCCACAATCCACTGGAAAGGAAATCTTAAAAACTCAAAAGTGTCTGTTGTTATTCCAAGTGACCAAGTTCAAAAAAATATCATTGTTTATTCCAATGGGAGTCAGCCTGGTGGAAACAGCCAGGGGACAGCTGTTCAGGGGATAACCTTTAATGTCAGTCATAATTTACAAAAGCAAACCGCCAACGTGGTGCCGGTGCAGAGGACTTGCAATCTTGTGACTCCTGTGTCTATTTCTGGAGTTTACCCTTCTGAAAACAAGCCRTGGCATCAGACCACAGTTTCTGCACTGGCTGCCAACCAGCCTGTTCCTCTTTGTCTTCCTGCTACCATTTCTGCTCAAAATATTCTTGAGCTTTCCACCTCCGAAAGTGAATCAAGTGTGCTTGGTGCCACTGGGAGCTCACTAATTGCTGTTTCAGTTGGGTCTGAGCCTCACCAACATCGGTCTTTGCACACAGGTCTAAATGATCAAAATTCTTCTGAAACTAATAATGGGCAAGAGAGCCCTAAATTATTAAAGAGGACAGCCCCTTGTGTTACAAGTGTCCCCCCAAGCTCCTCAGCACCTGCCACTAAAGTACACTGTGGAACCAAGTCCTGTCTGAGTACACAGGACTTCAGAGGTGACTTTCAAAACACCTTTGTTGTTTCAGTTACCACTGCAGTCTGTTCCCAGCTCCCTAGATCTGCAGGTGATTCTTCTCCAGTGAGTGTTAGCAAGTGCACAATCTCGACAAGTACAACCTCAGTGGTGGCACCATCTGCCTCTGGAGTAGAGAAGACTACTACTCCTGTGAGCACTCTTTCTACAAATCCTTTGGACAGTGGTTGGACTCTTTCTTGTTCTTTGCCTTCTTCAAGTGTTAGTGCTTCAGATTTGAAAAACATTAATAGCCTTACTCGAATTTCTTCAGCTGGAAACACACAGACAACGTGGACTACTTTGCAGCTGGCAGGAAACACTATTCAGCCCTTAAGCCAGACACCATCTTCCACTGTGATTCCAGTACTAAATGAGTCTGGTCCTAGCCCCACTGCAAGCAACCACAGTAGACACATGGCTACAAGCATCAACTTAAATAATTCCCTTCCAACAGATGGGTTATCAGTTGAGCAAGTAGTTGTAACCTTGCCTTCTTGTCCATCTTTACCTGTGCAGCCACTAATTGCCCAGCCACAAGTTAAATCTCAGCCACCAAAAAATATCCTTCCACTGAATTCAGCAATGCAAGTGATTCAGATGGCTCAGCCAGTTGGGTCAGCTGTTAATGCAACTCCAGCTAATCAAAATGTTATCATTCTTCAGCCCCCCAGCACTACCCCGTGCCCCACAGTGGTGAGGGCAGAAGTTCCCAACCAAACAGTAGGTCAACAGATAGTCATCATCCAGGCAGCTAATCAGAATCCGTTGCCACTCCTCTCTGCTCCACCTCCTGCTTCTGTTCGACTCCCTGTCAATGGAGCCAGTGCTATAATTGGGTCTAATCATTCAGTGCAAAATGTTTCAACCCCACAAACTTTTGGAGGAAAGCACCTTGTCCACATATTACCAAGACCTTCATCTTTGTCAACATCTAATTCAACACAGACTTTTTCTGTTACCATGTCAAACCAACAACAGCCTCAAACCATTTCTTTAAATGGACAGCTCTTTGCTTTGCAGCCTGTGATGTCTTCATCAGGAACTACAAATCACACCCCTATGCAAATTATTCAACCCACCACCAGCGAAGATCCAAATACCAATGTTGCCCTGAATACATTTGGTGCTTTGGCCAGCCTCAATCAAAGCATCTCACAGATGGCTGGGCAGAGTTGTGTGCAACTATCTCTTAGCCAGCCTGCCAATCCTCAAATTGCTGCAAATAGTCAAACCTCCCCAACTAACTGTGTTTCATTAACAACAACTGTAGCACCTCCCATGACAACTGACAATTCGGCCATACCCCCTGGTACTTTTAATCTTGTGACTACTTCCTCAATGAACACTGTTGCTTGTTTGCCACCTACCACAAAGTCAAAAAGATTAAATAAGAAGCCAGGTGCCAAGAAACATATAGCAGCTAGCAAACCCACATGTCCTCTGAATCCAGTCAGAGAGGTGGGCAAGTCAGACTGCCCCAACATGGAAAGCGCAGCAGAGCCATCATGTACTCCTGGACTGCTGGAAAGCCTTCCTGTTGTGCTACCACCTGTCACTCTGTCCCAGGCAAATAGTGGAAGTGTTTCTGCTTCACATTCTTTGGACATGCTAAATTCTGAATCAGTAATACCTGAATCTGTATCCAAATCTAAGTCAGCAGAAGAGTCTAGCTCACCCTCCCAAGAATCTGGAACAAGTGAACATTGTGCAGTAGCCCCAGCAAAATCCAAAGATTCTACYCCCATTTTGCAAAGAGAGACTTCTCAGGATAAACCACCAAGTAGCTTAGCATTGTCAGATGCTACCAAATCCTGTACGTCAGCCAATGTATTGATTCCATCTCCAAATCCTCAGATTTTGGTTTCTCAGGTGTCTGGTTTGTCATCCTCCACAAGGACTACAAGTACTGACTGTGTTTCTGAGGTAGAAATCATTGCTGAACCTTGCAGGATCGAGCAAGAGTCATCTTGCAATGACTCTGATACAATGCAAACTGCAGGTCTCTTAAAAGGGCAAGGTTTAACTACATTACTATCTGATGTTGCTAAAGAAAAAGACCCCCAGAAATCAACTCTTTCTGACCCTATGGATCATCCTGACTTTTCTTCAGAAAATTCTAAGATAATTGATTCAAGTGTTGATTTACACCCCAAGCAGGAACTGTTACTGATGAACAACGATGATAGAGATCCACCACAGCATCAGTCCTGCCTACCTGATCAGGAAGTTATTAATGGTTCTTTGCTCACCAGTAGGCAAGCTGACTCCCCCTCATCAACCAGCTCTGGAAGTACTCGCAGTTTCTCAGTTGCATCCATGCTTCCCGAAACAACTAGAGAAGATGTGACCAGCAGTACCTCAACTAATACATGTGACAGCTATACCTTTGCAGGGCAACCTGATATAGTAGCTCTTGCAGCAACAGTTATTTTTGGCCATCACAACATTGAGAAGGGAAGAGTTGGCATTCAGGCTGATGTAAGGGAGGGTACTTCAAAGCCTTCTGAAGCATCATCTTTAGAAGGAGACCAGTCTTTCAAATCACAGATCCCTAAAGAGAATGGCACAGGACAGACAGAAGCAACACCAAATGAACTTAACTCTCAGGATTCAATTGAAGTAACAGTGGACAGGCCCCTTGAAAAACCAAGTTGCTCTCTAGGAATTAAAACATCAAATGGTTCCTTACAGGTTTCAACTTCTCAGCCACCAAGCCTCACCAGTTTAAGTGTGAATAATCTCATCCATCAGAGCAGTATCAGCCATCCATTAGTCAGCTGTGCAGGTCTGTCCCAAACTTCAGAGCGAACAACTGCTTCTGCAACAGTTAATCTGACTGTTTCCTCTAGCTCCTACAGCAGCCAGCCTCCTGGACCACCTCTGATGACAGAATATTCTCAAGACCAGCTAAGTACTATGAATAATACCATACCGAATTCACAGATTCAAGAGTCCCTCTTAAAGCCAAGTCACGAAAGCCGAAAAGATTCTGCTAAGCGCTCTGTCCAAGATGACCTTTTACTGTCTTCAGCCAAACGTCAAAAGCATTGTCAACCAGTCCCCCTCAGGCTTGAAAACATGTCCCTAATGAGTGGAACTCCAGACAGCATTTCTGATCAAACTCAAATGATGGTTAGTCAGCTCCCTCCCAATTCTTCAAACTCAGTTGTGCCTGTTAGCAACCCAGCACATGGAGATGGCCTTACACGATTATTTCCACCTGGTAACAACTTTGTGTCCCCTGCATTGAGGCAAGCTGAAGTTCAGTGTAGCTCTCAGCCTTCAGTTGCTGAGCAGCAGCAAACCCAGGCAAGTCAACATCTACAAGCCCTGCAACAGCATGTTCCAGCTCAAGGTGTATCTCACCTTCATAGTAACCATCTGTACATCAAGCAGCAGCAGCAACAGCAAGCAGGGCAATTAAGAGAAAGGCATCACTTGTATCAACTGCAGCATCACGTACCTCATGCAGAGACTGCTGTTCACTCTCAGCCCCATAATGTGCACCAACAGAGAACTCTGCAACAGGAAGTTCAGATGCAGAAAAAAAGGAATCTCGTTCAGGGCAGTCAGGCCTCTCAGCTTTCCTTACAACCAAAGCATCATGGAACTGACCAAGCCAGACCCAAGAGTGGCCAGCCACATCCCCACCATCAGCAAATGCAGCAACAGATGCAGCAACACTTTGGAAGTTCCCAGCCAGAAAAGAGCTGTGAAAACCCTTCAACTAGCCGGAACCATCACAGCCATCCCCAAAACCACCTCAATCAAGATATTATGCACCAGCAGCAGGACGTTGGAAGCAGACAGCCAGGATCAGGGATTTCTTCTGAACATGTGTCTGGGCATAATCCAATGCAGAGACTTTTGACATCAAGAGGCTTGGAGCAGCAAATGGTGTCCCAATCAAGTATTGTGACTAGACCTTCAGATATGACCTGTACTCCACACAGGCCAGAGAGAAATCGCGTTTCCAGTTATTCTGCTGAGGCACTCATTGGAAAGACATCTTCTAATTCAGAGCAGAGAATGGGTATATCAATTCAGGGTTCCAGAGTTTCAGATCAGCTTGAAATGAGAAGCTATCTTGATGTTCCCAGAAATAAAAGCTTGGCTATTCATAATATGCAGGGTCGTGTAGACCATACTGTTGCCTCAGATATTCGCCTTTCTGATTGTCAGACATTTAAACCAAGTGGAGCTGGTCAGCAGCCCCAGAATAATTTTGAAGTACAGTCTTCAAGAAATAATGAAATAGTTAACCCTGTATCTTCATTGAGGAGTATGCAGTCTCAGGCTTTTCGGATTAGTCAAAACACTGGCCCACCACCAATTGACCGTCAAAAGCGATTACCGTATCCACCAGTTCAGAGCATCCCAACAGGAAATGCTATCCCACCAAGGGATAGTGAAAATACATGTCACCAAAGTTTTATGCAGAGTTTGCTTGCCCCTCATCTTGGTGATCAGGTCATTGGGAGCCAGAGATCACTCTCAGAACATCAGAGGAATACACAGTGTGGTCCATCCTCTGCAATTGAATATAATTGTCCTCCAGCTCACGAAAGTGTCCATATTAGAAGAGAGAGTGAGAATCAGAATAGGGAAAGTTGTGACATGTCTTTAGGTGCAATTAACACAAGGAACAACTCCTTGAATATTCCTTTTTCAAGTTCCTCTTCCTCAGGAGATATTCAAGGYAGAAACACAAGTCCCAATGTTTCTGTACAGAAGTCCAACCCCATGAGGATTACTGACAGTCATGGGACCAAGGGCCACATGAACCCTCCTGTCACAACCAACATGCATGGGGTTGCAAGGCCAGCTTTGCCACACCCATCTGTGTCTCATGGAAATGCTGACCAAGGCCCTCCKGTACGTCAAGCCAATTCTTCAGTTCCCCAGAGATCAAGACATCCCTTGCAAGATAGCAGTGGTTCCAAAATTCGTCAACCTGAGAGGAATCGTTCTGGAAACCAAAGGCATAGTAATGTCTTTGATCCAAGTCTTCCCCATCTTCCTCTCTCTACTAGTGGCAGTATGATTCTTGGACGTCAACAGCCCACTACGGAGAAGAGAGGAAGTATTGTTCGTTTCATGCCCGATAGTCCACAAGTCCCTAATGATAATTCAGGTCCTGACCAGCATACGCTATCACAGAATTTTGGTTTTCCTTTTATTCCTGAGGGTGGTATGAATCCACCAATAAATGCTAATACTTCTTTCATTCCACAGGTTACGCAGCCCAGTGCCACTCGAACTCCAGCCCTCATTCCAGTAGATCCTCAAAATACTCTACCTTCATTCTATCCCCCATATTCTCCTGCTCATCCTACACTGTCCAATGATATTTCAATCCCTTATTTTTCTAATCAAATGTTCTCAAATCCTAGCACAGAGAAGGTAAACAGTGGAAGTTTAAATAACCGATTTGGATCAATTTTATCTCCTCCCAGACCTGTTGGCTTTGCTCAACCAAGTTTTCCTTTACTCCCTGATATGCCACCAATGCACATGACCAACTCTCACTTATCCAATTTTAATATGACATCTTTGTTTCCAGAAATAGCAACAGCTCTTCCTGATGGCTCAGCAATGTCTCCTTTGCTTACAATAGCAAACTCCTCTGCCTCTGACTCTTCCAAGCAGTCCTCGAACAGACCTGCCCACAACATAAGCCATATTTTAGGTCATGATTGCAGTTCAGCTGTTTAAATATAGATAAACTAAATGTGAAGATATTAAAGGTCTTGAGTGAGATTATAAAAGTACTTGTGTGTGCATGCACACGTACATGTACGTGTACATGAAGAGAGGAATTTTGTTTGTGTTTGTATAATCAATTTTCAATTATCTTCTGAATGTAGGGATCCATGTCCATGTCTGAGATCATGCAAAATTTGTCAAAAACAAATTATGTTTTTTTAAGTGCATGGAGTGTTTTTTATGTTTCAAGCTTTCAAGCATATTGACATTTCCAAGTTTGATTTGTAATTTTATATTCCCTGAATGTAAGTCAACTGAAAATTGGGGGACCTCACCTTGGTATGTGCTGAGTGGTAGGAAGGGACTGAGATTTTAAGCATCATCACTGGTAATTTTTAAAATAGTTGAGTTTTTATTCAAAACATAAGCAACTTGATAAAGCCAATGGCTTATAACCAGATGATGGATGGTGTCAACATCTAAAAAAATTTCTCAGCTGTGACGGTGTTGAATTGATGTTAAATTAAATGTCCATACAGTCAAGCAGATAGCAGATAAATTAATTATCTAATAAGCCTTCATCCTAAAGTTTGGCTTAGGGAAAGTCTTCTTTCTTGATTCTAATTATTCATAAGTTATCTGTTCTTCAAAGTAGGGAGCCACTTTGTCCTTTAATGTGCCAGGATCTTTAAAGCAAAAGTCTTCCCAGACAATTAGCCTTAAAAATAGAAAGGTAAAAAGTAAAGGACACAATTGTTCTCCATCACGTACTTGTATTTTGCATCAGGCCATAAGGATAAAAGCAGTTATATAGTGGAGTTTTTCATGGAGTCATTAACAATTGGTGTTTTGTCAATTGAGTTTTAATTTAGTGTTCTCTCTTCATTCATTTATTTGACTTTGAAATAAATTCTTTTCCATTAATTTAAATATTAGGACTGATCAGCAAGTCATGCATTTAGGATCTTTATGTTTATTTGAGTCTTACTTTTAAAAATATTTCTGAACAGAGTTTTAAGCTCTCTCAGCATTTTCATTTAGCCATATTTATATTTTAAATAAGGCATTGTATATTGCATTATTATCCTTTATTCAAAATTATCATAATGAGAAGATGTGTTGGTTCAATATTTTTTCTTGATGGTAAATGTGAAATGGTGCTTCAAAAAAATACAGTCTCTATATATGCCCATGTGTGTATGTGAGAGAATATATGAAAACGGACAGATTTTAAAGTATAAACTGGTCCCTACTATTCCACAATGTATACATACTTAAAAACATCATGTTGTACACCATAAATTCATGCAATTTTATTTATCAAGGAAATAAATTTGAGAAAATAATAGGTTTGCCATCTGAAAATAGGAAATTGAGACCTGCTAAAGTATAGAAAAACTTGATGCAGGTGAGGTTTTTTTTATAAAACCCCCAGGAATTTAATAATAAATTTTAAAACATGCATTGAATTTTGAGAACTAAAACAAATGAGCAAAACCCTAAGAAAACAGTTATATATGATATGCTGATTTTTTAACCCTGTTAAACTATGACTTTTTGTTGTTATATTCTGCCCAAAATGGAATGAGGTGGGGAAAATGCATATAAATTGTTCTGTCTGCTCTGTTAAAAAAAAAGTAAAATCTGGGACCAGCATTTATTTCCATCCCAACAAAGCCTCCTGTGGCCTGGTCAGAGCAATTACCTCCTGCATCCCTCTTCTGCAGACTGAAATGGTCACTTATGCCTCTTCACTGTTCTCACCAAACCTTACCATCTGTTTCTGCTGCCTGCTAAAGCAGTCTCCAGGAGCAAAGAAATAGCATAAACCATAGAAACCTGTATTGCCTCCCTTCAAAATGGTCTTGGGGAGAAAATAGGAGAACTTCATGAATAAGTTACTTATATAAGAATGTATAAACATAGCAATTACACTTTTTTTGGAGAAAAACCACAGCAAGATCTACAACTTGTTTTTTATTTCTCTGAATTTTAAGCTTTAATATTCAATTTTTTCTTAGTACTTGAAAAGTTCAATCTGCCAATTTTGGAGGGGGGAGTACTGGGGATTTAATGGGGTGCTTGACCACTGAGCCACATCCCAGTACTTTTTATTTTTTATTTTGAGACAAGGTCTCACTAAATTGCTTAGAGCCTCACTGAGTTGCTGAGGTTGGCTTTGAACTTGTGATCATCCTTACTTAGTCTCCCGAGTACCTGGGATTACAGGATTGTGCCACTTGCCTGGCTAGTCTGCCAATTCAAGAAGTGCAGTTTTCTAAATATTTATCTTTTCCTCCCCTCCTCCTTCTTCTCTGCCTGTCCGTCTCACACATACCCCCACATAAAAGTGGCCATTGAGTTCTGTAGGACTAGAGGCTTCTTCATGTAACTGGAGCAAAGGTAACAGGCCATGGTGAAGCTCAGTTCCCTTCCACCTCTATAGATTGGGTCTTGTTACCCAGGCTAGTTCCAAATTACTGGGCTCAAGAGATCTTCCTGCCCCACCTTTGCAAGTARCTTCTCTAGGGGCTCTCTACCACACCCAGATGAAGAGTTCAGTTTAAACGTTGCAGTTCAAAGGGCTCAAAAATCTGTTACTTTCAGTTATTTCTATTGCATTGATTGTATTTTACTGTTCATCTATATTCAGAAATAGCATTTTCATTCCTCAGAAGTTTTATTCCAAGACTATAACACTGATATTGAATGAGTCTAAGAAAGGCTTGTTGTTTGACCATCTGCAAATAATTGGGATCCAGCTTATATGTAACTTTAATTATCTTATAGACAAAAGCATATATATGTTAGAGATCATTTTATATATGGGATYAATTCTGAGTGTTCACACCAAAGTACTCTTATTTGATTTTAAAGCATGAGTACTTACCAGCAGTATTAAGTATTTGAATTGAAGTACATGGTTTTGAGCAGGAAATTTGTTGTATAGGATTTAGTGATATCAGTATATAATCTTTTGGTACAGGAATGGCAGAAAATGCTGTCAATTTTGGCTATTGTAAATTGAAATGTTATTCTTGGCTTGCTCACATGATATACAAAGTTAAACTATTTCCACAAATAATTTTTCAACTTCTGAAAATACACAGATGTCTGAATCATAAGTGAGAGTCATTGAATCATTTMTCTTTTAGCATTATTGATTACATAGAATCAGTTAAAGAAAATAGTTGATTCTTCTCAACATTTAATAAGTTCTATGAAGTGAAAAATTTTAGATTTTTCCTCATGTATAAACCTTATTAATGCATTTGTTAAATATATAAATCATAGATGAAATAAATCCATTTTGGAAGTATTTATTTTTTGGAAAATACAGGTTGCTTTGGAATGTGTCATGTTTTATGCCACTTCAGGAAATTTAATTTTGTTTATTGTTAGATATTTTGGGACACCAGAGTTTGCACTTTTTTTAAGTAAGAAATGAGAATTCCATAGTAATCATGATTTATAAAATTTAACATATCAAAACTGTGGGAAGGAAGGCCATATTGTTTCACAGCAACTTCTAGTCATAAGTCAAGGTTATGTTGAACTACAGTGAAGATCAACTTTAAAAACTCAACGTTGTTAAAGTACAAAATCATTTAAAAATTTTAAAGATAGTTCATTTGTCTTGTTCTTGCCTTCTAACATCAGTCATTTCATTGAGAGGCTAAAACTTATATTCCAAAAAATGTGGACATGCAGTTTAATGGAAGTGATATTAAAAATTTTGAGAAAGACTTATTAATRTGCATCTTCTCAAATTTCTCCTTTCTTTTCTACATAGGTACYTATGTTCTTATTATTTTATATCTGTTCCATATCAAATAGGGGACAGGGAGCCTGGTCATTTCCTTAGCAGGATAGCTATTCATTTGCCTTGAAACATTTATTGGTTCTATCATCTATTAGATTACTTTGTGGGAGTGAGTCATACTTCCAAATTAGTGAATCCCAATTTTTGGCTTTGGGAACCATATTCTTTCTTCCTATTCTCTTAAGTAGCAACAACAGTATTAGTTCAGAATTGATCTAAAATATTTTAATATGCCATATGGCTCTTTCCCTAGGTTTGGTGGACTTGTTTTTTTTTTTTTTTTTTTTTCTTTTCATGGTGGAATGAAGAAAGGGCAAAGGTGATAACAAAATGAAATGGCTTTGGGTTGATATCCTGAGGAGCCTGGAAGTCATTGCAATTCTGTTATCTAGATAAGTGCTGCCTTTGCCTTAGGTAATGCACCTATGGCTGTGTACATCTAAAGGGCAATAGTAATAACCAATGACCAGATAAACTAGTGTGGAGTTGATCTCAGTGGTGATTTTATGATACCAATATGCAAATTAAAGGCAGAAATTAGTTTCTTCCCGGTATGCCTTTTTGGCTGAATGTTACAATTTTTCCTTCCCCAGAGTTCTACATAAAAGTGTCCTTTTTGGACTTAACTATACTCTCTGCATTCCACTCTTCCTGGGTTGTTTTATCTAAAAGAGTGAAACCTAGAGAGTGTTTCTATGAGTCTGTAGGCATCACCAAACTTAGATTGAGGCAATCCAGATATACTTGGCATAAATATTGAGTACCTTGTTTAATGCAGAGTTTCTAGCTCTTTCCCAACGCCTCTCTGCTAATACTGCATTTTACCTAAAACYGTGCCTCTGGTCCTTAGACCAGATATTGGAATATATCATCACCCTCTCCATGATAGAAAGGACCAGCCAGGATGGTGCAAGGTGCGTAATCAAACACCTCCTAGAAGCAAGTACAATAGATTCTCACTGTTGCCTTATCATTCTCTGAGCCATCTTCAAAGTTGATCTTGTTAAAACAAAACAAAACAAAAACTAGTTAGTAGCAAAACTCCTTTGAAACACAGAGATTATATATGGTGGTCATTTAGCATCCTTATTTCTGGATTTGCACAAACTATCAACTGTAATCTTTTTCTGGCATATGGTGGTCAATTGCTTCATAAACGTGAGTTAAGTTGAAGATGTTGGGCATCATATCCACATTGGTGTTACTTTGAATGACCACATAATCTCTCACTAGAGATGTCATGAGACATAGAAAGTAACTTGATTTATAATGTAACATGTTTTTTAAAACGATGATCTTTTTTTTTTTTTTTTTGCTTAGTTGTATGTACAGCTATACACCATACTATGCCATAGGAATTTAAAGTTTGATCTATTTAAATCCCTTCTTCACTTTTCTGAGAGCTCTCTGCCCTCCCACCCTTGAAGTTTTAAGGTCACTTTCATCTGTGAGGTACCAAGGCACTGGGCTTGACTAGAGTGGTAACCTTGATGGGAAGCTAAACTATTGATCTTCCAAGAAGAAAGGGACCAGACAGTGTTGCTTAAGATGCTGCAGTTGTGTTACTGTGAAGAAAAGATTTGCTTCCACTTTCAGCAGGTTATATAAATATCTATACATATATATATATTTTCATTTTGGAAAAAAAAGTTTGAAAAGTCTGAGAACATAATTCCTTCACAAATTATTTATAGATACACTGGGTGAGAAGCTTACTGTAGGGCAGTCATCGGACAAAAACTAAGTTTAGTGCTTCAATAGTGTAATATTTGTATCTATTATTATGCCAGCAGGGTCTGCTGTGCATTGTGTCCTATTACTGTAAATCACCTGGTTTGTAATTCTAATGGAAATTAATTTGTTTTTTAATGGAATCCAGAGCAGATATGTATAATAAGATCAGGATTGTCCTACAGTTGTAAATAAGAATGGGTCCTGTTTATTTTGACATCTTTTTACAAATGCATTGTATTAGGGTGTGAATATTCTGAACCATGCTCTTGTTTAAAGTTTTGAAATTTTTATTGTTAAATGTAACATTTTAATGGTTGTAATAATTATTTGTATAGATATGAATATAGTATTTTATTTAAGAAAATAAACTTTGCATTTTTTGCATTGTGAATTCAGTTGTTTCTGATCATTGCATGTGCCACTTCAAACCTATTGTCTTGCATACTGAAATATTCAAACAATCTTTAAAATTTTTCCATATGTCTGAAAATAATTCTGTGATACATCTCTACAGGGGTTGTGTTCCTGATCAATTGACCTCAAATAAATAATGAATAATAATTATGATACAACCATATTGTTAGAACAAACCATATATCCCTATACTTATAAAAAATTAAAATTAGAATTTCAGATCTGGAAGAGTATTTAGAAACGATCCAGTTTTAACTCTCTTCTGGGAGGAAACTGAAACACAGAACTTGGAGATAAAAGATCTATTGCTAAAGTTACCCACAAAAACTTAGTTAATACAACATGATTTTTAAGGGGAAAAATTAAGAGAAATTTGTATTAGATAAAATTATATAAAGTGAAAATACCTATAAATCAGACAATGGACACATTACCATCAAAGGAACAGTAAAACTTCTGACTTTACCACAAAAAAATGGTGAAGGCCAGAAGATAATGGAATGACTTTTTTGTTTTCTATCTTCTTCTTCCTCCTCCTCCTCCTTCTCTTCCTTTTTCTTCCTTCTTTTCCTCTTTCTCCTCCTTCTCCTCTTCCTTCTTCTTCTACTGAGGACTGATGCCAGAGTGCTCTACCACTGAGATATATTCTTAGTCTTTGTCTTTTTAAATTTTTTTTTTTTTAATTTTGAGACAGGATCTCCTGAAGTTGCCCAAACTGGGCTTGAACTTGTGATCCTCCTACTTCAGCCTTTTGAGTCACTGGGATTACATGTGCATACCACCACATCCGGATGGAATGACATTTAAGTATTTATTTAAAAAAAAAAAAAACTCTGCTGACCTATAATTTTATAAATTAAATGCCCTCAAAACTAAAATATATATTTAAAAATATATATAGATATATATATAAATTTTACATATATATATATATATATATATATATATATATATATATGAGCAATCTTGTATTTTATCCATAGACCAATACTAGAAGAAATTTAAAGGGCATTATTCAGTTCAAGGGAAAATGATCCCTGATGAAAGTGAAAAACAGTAATGGAGAGAAGCTGAAAGGGTAAATTGAAGTTAAGTGTAAAAGAGTATGAGGGCTTAATAGGCTTATAAGGCT